CCTGACCCCCTGCTGCACCCCACACCCCTCCTGCACCTCAACCCCCTGCCCTGAGCCCCCTGCTGCACCCTGCACCTCTCCTGCACCCCAACCCCCTGCCCTGAGCCCCCTGCCACACCCTGACCCCCTGCCTCACCCCTCCTGCACCCCACACCCCACCTCCCTGCCCTGAGCCCCCGCCACACCCCACACCCCTCCTGCCCCCCCTGGGGGCAGGGAGGGGGCGGAGTTGGGGTGGGGATTTCAGAGAAGGGGTTGGAATGGGGGCAGGGAAGGGGTGGGAAGAGGGGGGGCAGGGGCGGGGCCTCATGGAAGGGGTGGAGTGGGGGCGGGGCTGAGGGCGGCGGGGGGGAGGTGTCAGTAAATGCGGCCCTTGGGCCAATGTACTTGTCCTCATGTGGCCCTCGTGGTCATTTGAGTTTGAGACCCCTGTCCTACATAAATCACTGGCTATTTATTGCATTAACTGGGCCGTGTCAATAACTCTTTCCCTCAGTAGAGGGAGTTGTTTCTCAACATAATGAGAGAGCATCATCTGATTGCATTTTTTGTCAAGAATGTCTTATTTATTACCTTTACCTGTAATCTAATTTGTACTGTATTTCCTTTGCCATTCTATATTGTTATAAACTTTTTATTGAAGTTTGTACTGTAAAAAGGACAAGATTTTAATCCACAAGTGAGTTGTCCTGCTCAAGTTCCTTCTGCATTTTTTTAACCTTTTGACCCACTGTGAAGTCTTCTAGAAAAATGTTGATGACCAGGTGGGAACAAAATTATTAACTTAAATTAAAAACTGCAATAGCTGTGTTGCATTGACAGCACTACAGGATCTATGCCCATACCAAAGTAAATGGTGGTTGGTATGGTGGTACTGTATCAAAGCTCCAGTTTGCCAGACCCTGCACCCTAATCTAATAAAGAGATGGTCCCTGCCATAAAAGGCTTACAAACAAAGTGTGTGACAGTCACTGGATACATTGTGCTCCCCCATCTACTTCTTGTAAGTGAGAAGAATATGAATAGAATCATATAGCTGTAGGCCTCAAGAAGTCAAAGTCCAGCACCCTCTGCTGAGGCAGGACCAAGTAAACCTTGACCATCCCTGACAGGTGTCTGTCTAATCTGTTCTTAAAAAGCTTTAGTGATGCGGATTCCACAACCTCCCTTGGAAGCCTATTCCAGAGACTAACTACCCTTATAGTGAAACTTTTCCCTACTATCTCTCTGCAGATTAAGGTAAGATGTCTTACCCTCAGTGGACACGGAGAAGAATTGATCGCATCCTCTTTATAACAGCCCTTAATATATTTGAAGACTTTATCAGGTCCTTCCTCAGTCTTTGGTTCTCAAAACTAAACAGCTCGAGTCCTTTTTTTAAACCTTCCTTCATCGGCCAGGTTTTCCAAACCTTTTTATCACCTTTGTTGATCTCCTCTGGACTCTCTCTCCAATTTATCTACATCTTGCCTAAATCGTGGCACGCAGAATTGGGCACAGTGCTCCAGTTGAGGTATCACCAGTGCTGCCTGGAGCAGGACAATTATTTCCCATATTACACTCCTACTCATACAGCCCAGAATATTAGCCTTTTTTGCAGCTGCATCAGAGTGACTCCTATTCAGTGTGTGATCCTCTCTAACCCCCAGAGGCTTTTTGGCAATACTACCACCTACCCAGTTATTCCACATTTTGTATATGTGCATTTGATTTTTTTTCTCCTTCCTACATGCAGTACTTTATCTTTACTGAATTTCATTTTTGTTGATTTCAGATCATGTCTCCAATTTGTCATCGTCATTTTGAACTCAAATCCAGTCCTTCAAGGTGCTGGCAACCCCTCTCCCCCAATGGTGTTGTCTGCAACTTTTATAAGCATGTTCTCCACTCTATTAAATAGTACCTAACAGTGTAAGATGGGAACCTGAGAATACTCTGTTTTTGAAACTAGGGGGAAGTTTATAAGTAAACAGAATCGCCCCAACTGAAATCTTGCTAGAACATTGGACTCTTTAACCATGTTAACTGGCAGAAGAATATTAATTTATTTTTCACAAGGGGGAAAGAATCTCTGTATTGTCTCCTGGAAAAAAATGGGCCTCTTCGCCTGCTTACAGCCTGCTAGGAGAATGCCTCAGTAAGAAGAGTGGTAGAATCACATTTACTAACCCCACTTCTTGCAGCACCTGTGTTTTCCTTAGTCACATGCTGAGCAAGCTCAGCCCTGCTTAGCTGCAAAGACAGTCTTCTCGACATTAGCACCAACTGCTTCTGTCATTGTTAAAGACTTCTGCATATGGATATGGATTTCATCACTTTATCCTTCCACAAACCCCCTGGACAGAAAAGTCTCACAACCTTAAAACAAAGAAAAGATTAAATGTCTCTTTGTTGTTGTTAATGAATTTTTTATCTGGGCATCTTTCTAAGCACTTCAGGCCTAAGAGGCACGGATTACATTAAGAGAAAGAGAGGAGTCAGTGAGCCTTGGAATAAATCAAAAGAGGACAAAGGATGGAGAATGGAAACAGTAAATTTAATAAGTGACACAAACAACTGCAGGAAATCATAAAAACAGAAGTGGGGAAAATGCACAGGAGAGAGTGTTTGCAACATGTGCAGCGGATTGCCCAGCTTTCTGACAGCTTATCTCTGATTCCTTCCATATGTTGCTTTATGCATGGGTTCCTGTTTTTATAGGGTTTTGTTCTATAGCTTTTCTACTAACACAAGTGCTTCACATCTGCTCTGATATCTGATTTATTCCATTTTCTCTGGCAGGGGAAGGGTCGGCTTACTCACTTCTGGCCAAGGCTAGTAATGGAAAAATAGTAAGTTGGGGGTGGGGACTGAACCAGGTTCTGAAATGTGACTTTGTTGTGTTTACTATTGTCTTTCTAGTAGTGTGTGTGATCCCAACTGAGCTCCAATTCCAATAGTCTATCTTAAACCCTTACTCTGTAAATTGTTCACAGAGCCCTATCTCTACACAGAGCCCTATTGAAGTCATTGGGACTCTGGCTGAGTGCAGAAATCCTATACCAGGGAACCACTTGCAGGAGCAGGGCCTTAGCCTTGGGCTTGTTCAGCCTGAAACATGCTCCATCAATGTGAAGTGACCTACCCCCACTGACCACAACCTACCCTGCTAGTGTCCTTCAACTGCTCACTTGCAGGTACCAGGGTCCAGGGCTGGTGGTTTAACAACAGCAGATCTGCACTGCCCACTGCACTTATGCACCTGACGTTGATAATGAGAGCTCAGTAAAAGAACCTCTGGTTCCAGGTTGGTAACTTTTATGAAACATTCTGATTCTCACAAGCTGTTGACCTTAGTGCTGTAATCTTCAAGGAAACACGCCCCCCTCCCCACCATTGAAATAAAGCCCCCCCCCTTTAAAAACCCTAAATCACCCTAGGCAGGAGGGTGGCCACAGGCTATCACCCATGAACGAGAAGGCTACTCGCACACAGACAACCTGATTCTCCTTATTCAGCACACCAGCCTCAGGCAGGCGGTAGCTCCACCGCCTTCCCTGGAGTAACCCGGGTGCAGGAAGCGGAGAGTCGGGCGCACTGTAATGGGCAGAGTGACCCTGCTGGAGTGTAAATCTCCTGCCCCTGGAAGTAGCCCCCTTCCCATGGTGGGCTGCGAGCAGCGCCGTGCACAGCACTGGCCGGGCGGCCTGGCACGAGCCGGTCAGCTCAAGCTTGCAGCGAGAGGCTGCCTGGCTGCAGGTTGCCCCTGCCCCGGAGACTTGAGCCAAACCTGGAGGTTTCCCGCTCAGCTCGGAAGTGCTGGAAAGTTGCAGGGCCTCCGCCCCGCTGCCCGGTTCGCCAGCAGCTCCCGCGGCCGGCTCGGAGCTTTTCCTATCCCCGATCTCCCCGGACCCGCCCCGCTCCGCAGCGGAGCCTTGCCCCAGAGCCGAGCGCTCGCCCCGAGCCGCAGGGCCCGGGCCCGGCCCAGCGGCCGCAGAAGCCGGAGGGCTGAGCCGGTGTGATCCCGGCGGCGCTGGGGGAAGGAGCCGTGGCTGGCAGCGGCAGCGCCTCCCCCTGCTCCCGGCGGGCTGCCAGCCAGGGTGACACAGTCAGAGACACACCGACACCTTCCTGCCTCCCGGGGAGCCTGACACTGTCTGGCGCCGCAGCTCCCTGGGTGAGCCGCTGCCGCTTTGAGCCAGCCTCTCCCTCCCCGCTCCCCAGCCCTCTCCACCCCCGGTACCTCCTCCTCCCCCGCCCCGCGCAGCGCCCAGCCCGGGGCTCGCCGCTCTCTGTCTCCGCCCAGGCTCGGAGCAGCCCCCGCTCCAGCCATGCCCCGCGCAGGGGAAGCAGCCCGCTGGTAGTGCTCCCCCCGCCCGCCGCGAGGGTGCCAGCCCCTCTGCCCCGCGCCTCGCCGCCAGGCGGGACTTTTGAGCGATGAGACGGCCGAGTCGCCGGCTGGCTTTGTCTCTCTTGGGGATCCTGTGGATCGCTGCTCTCCTCTTCTTCTTGGGGGCGAGGAGGAGACTGGAGGTGGCAGGACCCGAAGGGCAGACGCCAAAGGTAACGAGCACCCGCTTCTCTTCGGGGACTGGTGGCTGGGGTCCAGCCCGGATCGGCGCGAGGGGGCTTTGCAAGAGCAGTGTGGTGTGCCCAGCTGTCCCGCGGGCTAGAGCCCCAGCAAGTGGCCGCGGGGAAATGCCCCGAGCACACTTGCAGCTTTGGGAACAGTCACATGTGGGAGAACCGCTTGGTTCGGTGCCCTTCCTGCCCCTGTGCTCATGCTGTACGCCAGGCGTGGGGAACTGGGTGCCAACTTCTTTGCAACAGTTTCACAGTCAAGTCCTTTAGGCTCTTACTTCCCTTAGAGAAGGCAACCAAACCAGGGCATGATGCACTGAGAGCAACATCACCAGTGGCTTACATTTGTCCATTAAGCCCCTGCCACCATCTCTTCCTGCTCCCCCAAGGGTTCTGAATGTGTGTAGGGCTGGAGGAACGAACAGGATTGTACGGTAGCCTAGCTATAGCCCAAAGGCAAGCAGCGTTTGCTGTGATGGAACTGGAGATTAGCTCGCTGGTTTCCTTGCAATTTGCGGGAGTTTTGCCCGTGTAAAACCTGCAGGATATGACCCGACCTGAGCATTCGGTCATTTGTGAATGCTGAGATAAGGACATGTTTGGGAGCGGGGTGGGCGCCAGAAAGCCCCTCCCAGATTGCTCCCTCTCCAGAGGTTTTGCAGTTGTATAAAGTACATACAGCAAGTATTTTCTCGTCTTCGCTATTTGCTTAATTCCTTTCTCCGAGTCAGATTAGTGGCGCCTATTGCTGCCTCCGAGAGTTTTTAATCTGTGTATTGTCTGCTCAGGATGGACCCGATTCTCCTCTTGCTTACCCCAGCTAGCTTTACATCAGTGTAACTTCATTGCTCTCGATGGAATTACTCCTGATTTATACCAATGTGTGTGAGTCAGATCAGAATCCTGCCCCACGTACATAGAATCATAGGCTACGTCTTCACTACCCGCCGATCCGGCGGGTAGCAATTGGTTTATCGGGGATCGACTTACCGCGTCTCGTGAGGACGCGGTAAAATCGATCCCTGATCGCTCTGCCGTCGACTCCGGAAATCCACCTCGACAAGAGGCGGCAGCGGAGTCGGCGGCAGCGCGGCAGCGGTCGGCTTTCCCCCGTCCTCACCACCAGGTAAGCCGACCTAAAATACGCAACTTCAGCTACGGTATTCACGTAGCTGAAGTTGCGTATCTTAGGTCGGAACCCCGCTGTAGTGTAGACCTAGCCATAGACTTTAAGGTCAGAAGGGACCATTATGATCGTCTAGTCTGACCTCCTGCACAACGCAGGCCACAGAATCTCACCCACCCATTTATGTATCAAACCCCTAACCTATGTCTGAACTACTGAAGTCCTCAAATCGTGGTTTAAAGACTTCAAGGTGCTGAGAATCCTCCAGCAAGTGACCCTTGCCCCACCCTACAGAGGAAGTCAAAAAAACCCCAGGGCCTCTGCCAATCTGCCCTGGAGGAAAATTCCTTCCCGACCCCAAATATGGCAATCAGCTAAACCTTGAGCATGTGGGCAAGACTCACCAGCCAGACACCCAGGAAAGAATTCTCTGTAGTAACTCAGATCCCACCCCATCTAACATCCCATCACAGGCTATTGGGCATATTTACCCCTAATAGTCAAAGACCAATTAATTGCCAAAATTAGGCTATCCCATCATACCATCCCCTCCATAAACTTATCAAGCTTAGTCTTGAAGCCAGATATGTCTTTTGCCCCCACTGCTCCCCTTGGAAGGCTGTTCCAGAACTTCACTCCTCTGATGGTTAGAAACCTTCATCTAATTTCAAGTCTAAACTTCCTGATGGCCAGTTTATATACATTTGTTCTTGTGTCCACATTGGTACTGAGCTTAAATAATTCCTCTCCCTCCCTGGTATTTATCCCTCTGATATTATGGAGAGCAATCACATCTCCCCTTAGCCTTCTTTTGGTTAAGCTAAACAAGCCAAGCTCTTTGAGTCTCCTTTCATAAGACAGGTTTTCCATTCCTTGGATCATCCTAGTAGCCCTTCTCTGTACCTGTTCCAGTTTGAATTCATCCTTCTTAAACATGAGAGACCAGAACTGCACACAGTATTCCAGATGAGGTCTCCCCAGTGCCTTGTATAACGATACTAACACCTCCTTATCTCTACTGGAAATACCTCGCCTGATGCATCCCAAGACCAGATTAGGTTTTTTCACGGCCATATCACATTTGCAGCTCATAGTCATCCTGTGATCAACCAATACTCCGAGGTCCTTCTCCTCCTCTGTTACTTCCAACTGATGCATCCTCAGTTTATAACAAAAATTCTTGTTATTAATTCCTAAATGCATGACCTTGCACTTTTCACTATTAAATTTCATCCTGTTACTACTACTCCAGTTTACAAAGTCATCCAGATCTTCCTGTATCATATCCCGGTCCTTCTCTGTATTGGCAATACCTCCCAGCTTTGTGTCATTAGCACATTCCCACTTTTTGTGCCATGGTCAGTAATAAAAGATTAAATAAGATTGGTCCCAAAACCGATCCCTGAGGAACTCCACTAGTAACCTCCCTCCAGCCTGACAGTTCACCTTTCAGTGTGACCCGTTGTAGTCTCCCCTTTAACCAGTTCCTTATCCACCTTTCAATTTTCATATTGATCCCTATCTTTTCCAATTTAGCTAATAATTCCCCATGTGGAACCGTATCAAATGCCTTACTGAAATCGAGGTAAATTAGATCCACTGCATTCTTGCTTCAATTCCTGTTATTGGTTGGATGCCTTCTCTGAAGTTCATGCCACCTTGTCAGGTGTCTAAAACCACTGTACTCAGCCTTGTAGCCCTTACCTGTTCTGTTGGCCTTGGGAATTAAAGTATTCTCTCAGAATGCCAGCCTATGTTTCTATGATCTTTTTGACTAACCAAGATTCTCAAGTCCATGTATCATTTTTTCTGTCTGCTGTGTCATCTTCATTCCTATGCTACTTGTTTTTATATGCTGACTGTAACTGCGCTCAGTGTTCCAAATATGACCTCACCAGGCCTTACCACGGCTAGATAGTTTTATCATGCTCTAGTTTTCTGCTTATACGATCTGTGCCAAAAGTTTTAATGTCTCTATCCACTCCCTTTCCCCTATATCAGTCTCAAGTTTAATATTTGCCTGTTAGAGGTATATATACTTTTCTTGTTATTTGGCTTGCTGTGAGCACACTACCTTGTACTCTAAATTTAAAATAGTAATTGAATTGAATGCTCTGGATAGCTCTGTGCTTGGTGTATAACTAAATTGGTAACAAAATGATGCACTCAGCATAGTAATGAATACAACTTTGCACACTTGTAATGGTCATCATCACTAATGACTGGAGCTCCAGAGCTAAAAGCATGAGTCTCTCTAGTGTGAAATGAGCTAAGGCCCCAATTCAGCAAAGCATTTCAGCATGTGCTTAAATCCACCCCTATTCAGCAAAGCCCACTGGGACTTAGCACATACTTAACTTCGGGCATGTGTTTATGTGGAATACAGATGGGCTGCTGAATCCGGGCCAAGTCCCCTAGCAGGGTATTATAGCAGACCTGTGTCTTCTGTGGATCAGGCACAAAGGGGGACATGTAGCACACAAGGAGAGCGGTTTACACTGTCAGTTTTCATTTGTGGATTTCTAAGCACTTGATAAACAATAAGTGAATGATCCTCACAACCCTCCTCTGAAGTAGGCATGACTATACCCATTTTAAAGATAGAGAAGCACACAGAGAGAATTTAATGGACTTGTCCATGATGGTGAGTCCGTGGCAGAGCCGCAGATGCCATTAACTGGTTTAAATCACTACACTTATGTAGTTAAACAAAAAAGTCGGGGTCCTAATATGAATATAAATATTTCAATGAAATTGGTTTTTGTCTCAGTGAAAGCTAGGGTGACCAGATAGCAAGTGTGAAAAATCGGGACAGGGGGTGGG